ATGGGTGTGGGTGATGCACGCGGGCGGTAGGGGCCTTTGGCGGAGCTCCCTACGGGACCACGAAACGTGTGAGGGGTGTGCCGAAATTGGTGTGGGTGACGCATGCGGGCGGTAGCACTGGGGCCTTCGGTGGAGCTCCTATGGGGCCACGAAACGTGTGAGTGGTGTGCCGAAATGGGTGTGGGTGACGCATGCGGGCGGTGGCCGGTGGAGCCCCCTATGGGGCCACGAAACGTGTGAGGGGTTTGCCGACATGAATGTGGGTGACGCATGCGGGCGGTGGCACTGGGGCCTTCGGTGGAGCTCCCTATGGGACCACGAAACGTGTGAGGGGTGTGCCGAAATGGGTGTGGGTGACGCATGCGGGCAGTGGCATTGGGGCCTTCGGTGGAGCTCTCTATGGGGCCACGAAACGCTGTACTGGGTGAGTGAAACGCAGGGAGGAAGGAGGGGGAGGAGGGGGAGGATGGAGGAGGAAGGGAGGAAGGAGGAGACGCGGGGACCGTCTCTTCAAAACGAGGACCCAGCACCACAGGATAGTTGGGAAAAAGAAGCTTTTTCGGAAGAGCGTTCAGAATTTTACGCGATTCCTTACTTCCGCCCGGGAAAAAATCGCCTTAACCGGGGAGAGAGCCCCATTCCCAGACAAGAAGCCTCTCGCGCCCCAAGGGGGCCCCAAGACGGCCCAAGAGGTCTCCATGACGGCCTTGCAGCGCCCCCAAGGGGACGAAGGATGGCCCCAGGGCCCCAAGACGGCCTCCGAAGGAGTCCGACGAGCCAAAAGACTCCCAAGACAGCCCAAGAGACCCCCAAAAGGGCTTTCAGAGTCCCTCGCGAGGCACCCGTGAAACCCCCCGGATGCCCCAAGAGGGCTCCCAAAGGCCTTTTCCTCCTCCTCCTCCTCCTCCCCGTCCTCCTCACTATCCTCCCTCCCCTCCTCCTCCTCCTCCTCTTCCTCCTCTTCCTCCTCCTCCTCCTCTTCCTCCTCCTCCCAAGTGTTCCCTGTCAAGGATTTCGATTATCCCAGTGCGACCCTACCTAGGAGTTGGAGCATCTAGGAAAGCAACATCTGCATCTACACCGACAGCTACATTAACATCTACACCTGCATCTACATCTACATCAACAGCGAGACTCACATATACATCTACATCTACACCTACATATACACCTACATCTACATATACATCTACATCTACACCTACATCCACATCTACACCTACATCTACAATTTCGCATTGGTTTTGCTTTTGCTATGCTATGCTATGATATGATATGCTATGCTATGCTATGCTGCGCTATGCTGCGCTATGCTGCGCTATGCTATGCTATGCTATGCTAGGGTATGCTAGGCTGCGCTGTGTTATGCTAGGCTATGCTATGCTATGCTGCGCTATGCTATGCTACGCTATGCTGCGCTATGCCATGCTATGATATGGTATGCTGCGCTATGCTATGCTAGGCTATGCTATGATATGCTATGCTGCGCTATGCTAGGCTATGATATGATATGGTATGCTGCGTTATGGTATGCTATGCTATGCTATGCTATGCTGCGCTATGCTGTGCTATGCTATGCTATGCTGCGCTATGATATGCTATGCTATGCTATGCTATGCTAGACTATGCTATGTTATGCTATGCTGCACTGTGCTATGCTAAGTTAAGCTATGCTAAGCCATGCTATGCTATGCTGCGCTATGCTATGCTATGCTATGCTATGCCATGCTATGCTGCGCTATGCTATGCTGCGCTGTGCTATGCTATGCTATGCTATGCCGTGCTATGCTATGCTAATGCTGCGCGGCGCTAAGCTAAGCTAAGCTGAGCTGAGCTGAGCTAAGCTAAGCTAAGCTAAGCGAAGCTAAGCGAAGATAAGCTAGGCTAGGCTAGGCTAAGCTAAGCTAAGATGAACTAAGCTAAGCTAAGATGAGATAAGCAACGCTAAGCTAAGGGGACGTAACTGGGGGAACCGCGGGGCGGATCCTGGGGGAACCGCCCGGGGCGAGCCCCACTGCCCGGCCCCTTTAAGCTCGGAGAGTAAGAACCCTTCTAGGAAGAGCCTAGGTAGGGAATAACAGCAGGGGTAAGACTTAGCCGAACAAAGTGGCAATGCCCCCGCCCAACGTTTGGCTACAAAAGCGATCCCTAAAAAGGGGAGGAAGCGGCGGTGGTTCACCGTAGGCGTCCTCGATAAAAAACATACATGACATCGCCAGCCCCGATACTTCCCCCAAGCACGTCTTCGCTGGGAGTCTACGTGCGTTGGGCGACTTTGCACCATCATCGCGATCAGTTTTGTCAAGACCATCATCCATGCGCTCACCGCCATCGTGCGGTTCATCAGCATGGAAACAATCGGGGTCATGCTGATCATGGTCATGAACATGACCATCTTCACCACCATCTTCATTGCCGCCATCGTCATCATCATCATCATCATCACCACCATCACCATCACCATCACCATCACCATCACCATCACCATCATCATCATCATCATCATCATCATCATCATCATCATCATCATCATCATCATCATCATCATCATCATCATCATCATCATCGCCATCATCATAATCGCAATTGTCATCACCAGCATCACCACCACCATCACCACCAATAGTACCACCATCTCGACGACCAATATCAGTATGTTCACTATCTGGTTCGTGACAATAAAGGGCGTCATCGAACACATGCTACATCGCAGACAGAGGTCCTCATCACGACCACCACCACCATCACCCCTGTCACCCTTGCCATGCAGCTGGTCACGATTGCGACGGGGCACATGGAACAAACCCCGCCGCCAAAGCCGAACGCAAAAACGCACGCCACTTCACGTGCGTTTTGCCCCTGCTCATCCGCGCGACGCGAATCCGATTATGCAGAGATTCACAACGCGAAGCCCATGCACTGAACGATGATATGCGAGTATACCGCAAAAAGGAAATTATGCACACTTTGTTCAAAAAAGGAGCACAAAGGATGGAAGTAGGTACATACGCAGCGAGGAGGGATTGATCACGAAAAAAGGTCCAGAGGAAAATACGGCGATACAGAGAAAGAGAGAGAGAAAGAGAGAGAGAGAGGGAGCGAGAAAGCTAGAGAGATGGCGAGAGAGATATAGCGATAGCGAGAGAGAATGACAAAGTGAGCGAAGACTATATCGAGAGAGAGCGAGAGCGATATATATATATATATAGAGAGAGAGAGAGAGAGAGAGAGAGGGAGAGTATCAAAAGAGAGAGAGAGAGAAGAGAAGAGAGAGAGAGAGAGAGAAAAACAAAAAAAGAAAAAGCAGAGAGAGAGGGAGACAGAGAGGCAGAGCGAGAGAGAGAGAGAGATTGAACACATAGCAACAACAAACTATGCTATATTGAAGGGCACCCCGATAGGACCACCCTTAGGGTGATAAGGAGGTTGGGGGGGGGAAGGGGGAGGCGGTCGATTTGCGATGAGCCCCGCCTACCCCCAACAAAGAGTGCACGGGCAAACCAACACCACCTAATTCCACTTGCGTCTACCATTCGGACCTATCTATCTACCGAGTCGATCCCTCAAGCAGTCCTATATGTATCTATCCATCTATATATATATATATATATGTATAGAGAGAGAGAGAGATCTCTTGATATATTCATCTATCTACCTATCTATTTCCCTATCTGTCCATCTATGGTGGTGAGTGGTCATGGTGCCGCCGCTGCGCCGCACCGACTCGATTCAGACCTGGCACTTCGCGAAACATCAACCCACGCAGGCCTGGCAGAGCCCGGGCCTATACCTCCGCCTTTGTCTGCGACCTCGGTCGCAAGGAAGCTGGCGCCTGCCCGTGCCTGGACCTATCTATTGATGTACCTCTCAATATATCTTCGTATCTATCCAACTAATCGGGGAGAACCATCTATCAAACATCGGGAGAACCATCGGGGCAATCCACCTATCTCTCTATTTAAATGTATGTCTATCCTATATATCTGCCGATCTGCCTATCTACCAATCTAATTGTCCATCTGCCACTGTGTAACCACCTATCCGGGACAACCTTCAAGACATCCATTTAGACACCCATCAAAACAACCATCGGGACAACCATCGGAAAAACCGTCGGGACAACCGTCGGGACAACCGTCAAGACAACCATCGGGACACCCATCGGGACACCCATCGGGACAACCATCGAGACAACCGTCGGGACAACCGTCGGGACAACCATCGGGGCAACCGTCGGGACAACCGTCGGGACAACCATCGGGACAACCGTCGGGACACCCATCGGGACACCCATCGGGACACCCATCGGGACACCCATCGGGACACCCATCGGGACACCCATCGGGACACCCATCGGGACAACCATCGGGACAACCGTCGGGACACCCATCGGGACAAGCATCGGGACAAGCATCGGGACAAGCATCGGGACACCCATCGGGACAAGCATCGGGACTAGCATCGGGACAACAAATCGAGGGCCGTGTCCGGCCGGGGGGAGCGGGGGGGGGCGGACGACCTTTTGGGCTCCATGTGGCTTCTACAACTACAGGAACTCGCGCAGCTTCGCCTCGCCCGCACTCAGGACACGCACCGAAACCGAAACCGATTTCCCAGTTGGGCTCACTTCCGTTCACATCCCCCAACCTCCGATTGATAGATAGCCCTGGTCAACAAAGACCCCCGAAGGTAGCGACATCTCACATGCGCGTGGTATGCGCGCGTAGCTGTTGGCAGACAGACGTAGTAACGCAACGACAGATGGAGAGAGAGGCCTGTGGCCAGACAGAGCTGGAGAGCCAGATAGGCCGAACAGGGGAAGACTTCTTAGACGAAGACGGAGACAAACACAGCAAGACCTCAAACACATTGTCAAGTGGGAGGTGCTAAGAAAGAGAGAGAGAGATAACTAAAGAGAGAGAGAGAGAAACAATAACGACGACGCCGACGACAGCCCATGCATGTGTTCGAACTGCGCTCCAAACCCCATCCCTGCGCTCCAGTCGTGCCCCAGTGCAGCAGGGTGCGAAACACGTCCAAAGGCAAGCCTGCAATCAGGCGACGACTCTCCCCCTCTCGCCAGCGTGCACCCTCAAGCCATTGTCAAGCGCTCGGTGAGGCCATCCCCTCCTCTTCGCCCGCTCTCTCTTACCTCTGATCCTTCCAATTCCCCCTGCATGTTTCACTTCACATCTCGTCCCTTCCCTCATCTGCCGTCCGCACACCTGACACCTCACTGTCATTACAATCGACAGTGTTCTTCCATCGTTCCCTCCCCATATTCCAATTCTCATCGGAACAAGCGAAAGAGAACTGCAAGCCAGAAAGAACGCGCCAGTACGGCAATGACGAGAACACGGGCCACGATAATCTTTGAACAGAAGCGAACCACCTCCCTGATCTGTAGCCCATCGCCCTCCCCACACTTTCCACCGCCCTTGAGCATCATTTATCCGACCCCTTCCCCAGCGACGTGGCCTGGAACCCACTGGCCGATTTACCCCGCTAGATGGGGATATAGGCCAGATCCTTCGGGTTTCGAGGGGTGTGTCCCCAACTGGGGGTGTAATTTGGTGGGGGTCTCGAAGGGGATGAGCATGGGGATGGTGATCGGTTAAACGATATTGAACCCCCCTACCCCTTCTGCAAGCGTGTTCACGTTGCGCATGCGGTGTCGGTGCGCGCGTGCGCAAGCGTGCGTGTGCATGTGTCTGTGTGTGTGTGTGGTGAGGCTCCAGCCGCCGCGCGCTCTCGGGCTTCTTTACTGACTGACTGCGCTGCGTTCCTGCGCGCGCGGCCCCGACGCCCAAAAACGTGTCTGCATGTGTGAATGTGTGCGCATGTGCCTGTACATGGGTGTGTGTGTGTGTGTGTGTGTGAGCCGGGCCAGTGCGCACGCTTCTTCGACCTGTCCTACACAGCGCTGCCGCGCGCGTGGCCACAGCGCCAAAGTGTGTGTGTGTGGAGAGAGAGAGAGAGAGAGAGAGAGTTGCACCTGACTGTGAAACAATATACGTAGTGTATTTACGTGGTGTATTTGCGTAGTGTATTAGAGTAGTGCATTTGCGTAGTGTATTTGCGTAGTGTTTTTTTTACGTAGTGTATTTACGTAGTGTATTTATGTAGTGCTAGTATTGGCGTCGCAGTTTGGCGTGCAATGCTTGCGCGGGGAATTTGCGTAATGTATTTCGCGGAATGCCTGGCGCCGCGTGGAATTAGCTTTCCGCGTCATGTTGTCGCGTAGTGTTTGGTCGATCCGCAAACTCGGAAAGGGATTCAGAACTGCGAGGCCAGGGGATGCTGCCAAGCACCTCGATCGGGCGATGGGCAATGGACATGCTGGAGATGCCCGTGGTGACGCTTCTGTGCCTGGGGCTGCGTCGTGCTCCCCTGCGCTGTGCCGCGCCACACTGGGACGTGACAGGGAACGCGCCACGTAGTGTATTTGCGTAGTGTGGTCGCGTAGTGCATTTGCGTAGTGTATTTACGTAGTGTTTTTGCGTAGTCGATTTGCGTAGTGTATTGACGTAGTGTCTTTACGTACTGTATTTGCGCAATGTATATCAATGTATTTACGTTGTGTACTTACGTAGTGTATTCTGCGTAGTGTATCCGCGTAGTGTAGTTACGTAGTATATTTACGCAGTTCATTGCCGTAGTGTACTTACGTAGTGTATTTGCGTGGTGCATTTACGTGGTATATTTACGTAGTGTATTTGCATATCGTAGTTTACGTAGTGCGTTTGCGTAGTGCTGTCGCGTAGCGTGTTGGGCCAGTGTCTTGTGTCGGCGTAGTGTGTCGGCGTAGAGTTCCTGCGTGGTGTATTTGCGGAGTCTTTTCGTGTATGGTATTAGCGTCGCTGTTTGGCGTGCAATGCTTGCGTGGAATATGTGCGTTCTGTATTTCGAGGAGTGCATTTCCGCGCGTGGAGATAGCTTTCCGCGTAATGTTGTCACGTAACATTTTCGAGTCATGCGTTTCCGTGGTCGATCCGCAAACTCGGGAAGGTATTCAGAACTGCGAGGCCTGGGAACGCTGCCAAGTACCTCGATCAAGCGATGGGCAGTGGCAGTGCTGGAGATGCCCGTGGTGACGCTACTGTGCCGGTGGCTGCGTCGTGCTCCCATGCGCTGGGCCGCGTCGCACTGGGACATGACAGGGAACGCACCACGTAATGTATTTGCGTAGTGTATTTACGTAATGTGTTTGCGTAGTGTATATACGTTGTGTACATGCGTAGGGTGTTTTTACTCAACGTATTTGCGTAGTGTATCTGCGTAGTGCATTTGCGTAGTGCATTCGCGTAATGTAGTATACGTAGTGCGTTTGCATCGTGTGCTGACGCAGTGTGTTGGCGTAGTGCATTGGCGTAGTGCTCCTGCGTGGTGTATTTGCGTAGTGTATTCTCGTATGGTGTTTGCGTCGCAGTTTGGCGTGCAATGCTTGCGTGGAATATTTGCGCAACGTATTTCGCGGAGTGCCTGGCGCCGCGTGGAGTTAGCATCCCGTGTAGTGTTGTCGCGTAAAATATTCGCGTCGTGTGTTTCGGTCGACCCGCAAACTCGGGAAGGGACTTAGAACTGCGAGGCCTTGGGACGCTGCCAAGCACCTCGATCGGGCGATGGGAAGTGGAAGTGCTGGAGATGCCCGTGGTGACGCTACTGTGCCGAGGGCTGTGTCGTGCGCGCGCCTGTGTGTGAAGTAATATACGTAGTGCATGGCGTAGTGTTTCACGTCATGTGTTTGCGTAATGTTCACGTAATGTGTTTGCGTCGTGTATCTACGTAATGTATTCACGTAGTGCCGATGTCACGCTTTAGCCGCTCGCTGGTGTAGCATAACATAAGTGATGTATCTACGCAGTGTCAATTTCACGTTTGAGCTTCGAGCATATGTAACATATTCTACGTAGTACATTCACGTAGTGTCAATTTCATGTTTGAGCTTTCCGCTGGTGTAGCACAATATACGTAGTGTACTTACGTAGTGTATTGACGTAGTATAGTTACGTAGTGTGTTTGCGTAGTGTACTTGCGTAGTGCATTTGCGTAGTGTATTTACGTAATGTATTTGCGTGGTGTACTTCTGTAGTATATTTGCGTAGTGTCTATTTCACATCTAAGAATGTCTCATTTCACCGTGAAAACGTTATATTTCACAGTTAAGCATAACCGTCGTGTGTGCATGTTTGTGCGTGTATGTGTGTGCGCATGCGTCTCTTCTCGTCTCACATCCTCATCTTCTCCTTGTCTCCAACTTCGCTTGCTTGCTGGCACGCTCCGCGCACCCGAGTGCTGCATCTGATGCTGCATTTGGCGCCGGCGAGGAGAGGTGTGTGTGTGTGTGTGCGCATGTGCGCACGTGCACCGATGGGGCGCGACGGTGTGAACGAAACTTCGCACCCAACCGTTCTGCTTCCGTGGCTCGTCGGCCTGGCTTCCCAAGATTTCGGCACCGCGCTGGCGGGGCGAAGAAAGGGTGGGGCTATTTAAAAGGGGGGTCGCGAATCAGCTCACGCAAATGTTTCTCTGGCGCCCCATGGGGCCAGAGGCAACCGTGCATCGAAGAAATGGCTTGGCGGCGGGGCTGAAACTGGCTGCACGCAGCAGATGTTATACCGCCTACCCCCCATTTCCCTGACATCCCGTTGGTCCGACCCGAACGTGCGCACATTCTGCGGAAGTCCGATGTGGCCCAGGACTGAGTTGTCGGAAATCCTTTGGTCCCGAACCCCACGAGTGGGTTTGGCTGGGTCCTTCAGGCGGTCCTCAACGTTTTCGGCAATGTACCGTTTTTTTACACAGCTGGGAAAATACAAATGATGTTCGCGCTTCCCTAGGCCATTGTGAAGATATTCATCATGTGGATATGCGGTCGCTTCGGCATTTAAATCATTGGCGCGCTGTACATGTGCGCTCCAATGACTCGATGGTTATGCTGCGCACGACATTGTTTTTCCAATGGGTGTTCTCTCATTTCCGATTCACCGGGCCCTGTTGGGCCAGCTTCGGGTCTCTTCGAGGCTCGTCTGGGGACTCATTTGGAGCCGTCCTGGGGCTATCTTGACGCCTAAAGAGCCGATGGTAAGCGAAACGCGAGAAGGCAAAAAACATGGATTTCCCATGATTGTCATTAATGTTCTACTTTTGGGGCCGTCCTGGGCCAACCTTGAGCCTCTTTGGGGCTCGTCTGGGGACTCATTTGGAGCCGTCCTGAAGCTATCTTGACGCCTCCCGAGCCGACCGGAAGCGAAAAGGCGAGAAGGCCAAAAACATTGTGTTTCCAATGGTTCGGGCCTCTGTGGGCCTCGGCTTCCGCCTCTCTGGAGCCATCCTGGGGCTATCTTGACGCCTCCCGAACCGACCTGAAGCGGAAAGGCGAGAAGGCCGAAAACATTGCTTTCCGAATGGTTTTAAATCGATTTCCGAATCTTTGGGCCCTCGGCCAGCCTGTGTAGAGGAAAAGGAGGACGAGAAGGAGGAGGAGAGGAAGGAGGAGAAAAAAGAGGAATTAGAGGAAGAGGGGGAGAGAGGAGAAAGAGGATGAGGATGAAGCGAGAGAAAGAGGAGGAAAAGGAGGAGGAGGAGGAGAAAGAGGAGGAGGATGACCTGCTTCATGCTAGCCCCATCACTCGCCTGAGACAGATTCGCGCCTCTGGGCCCCGAAACGCCCTGAGCTGGCCTCAGCTGGTGTTGTCCGATCGCTCCCGCTTATGAACTCTTCACCCATTCCGACTTGGCGGTGGCCCGCCCCATGTCCACGCGCACGCGCGCCGCCTGCACTCGAAACTACGAGGAACAAGGTGCATGGCGCGAAGCGCCAATGCAATCTTGTATATATACATGTATATACACATATGTATGTATGCATGCATGCATGCATGTATGTGTGTGTGTGTGTGTCTGTCTGTCTGTCTGTCTGTCTGTCTGTCTGTCTGTCTGTCTGTCTGTCTGTCTGTCTGTCTGTCTGTCTGTCTGTCCGTCTGTCTGTCTGTCTGTCTGTCTGTCTGTCTGTCTGTCTGTCTGTCTGTCTGTCTGTCTGTCTGTA